CAGGTTAGGGTTTCATCTTGTCACACGACGTGTTTTATGTGAACCCACCCAGAGTCTGAAGCAGAAAGCCTGAGTTGACAAACATACCAACCAAACAGAATCCCAGCTTTGTCCATTATGTCATGACATACAGAGGGTAGCAGAAAATGTTTGCATTACACACTAGATGACGTGGCTCGTTGGTCTAGGGGTATGATTCTCGCTTTGGGTGCGAGAGGTCCCGGGTTCAAATCCCGGACGAGCCCTACATTTGGTACGTATGTCAGCAGGCAGGAGAGGTTATACTGCAGAGTTCTGGAGGTGACAAACAGACACAAGTAGCCTTACCATGCATCACACACAGAGTACCAGCCAAAAGTTTGAACACACCTCCTCATGCCATTGATTTTAATTATTTTCTACATTTTATGTAATATAGAATAATCCTGAAGACATCAAAACTCCAACCTTTAGGTAGCAGATTTCCCATGATGAGGTTTGTCAGCAGAATGTTCGCTGAGGTTTTCTGTCTCACATCTGTCAGAAAGTGTCTTTCGCTGAACTCAAGACCAAGGCGACATTCATCCAAACCATCCAGAACAATCAGGATCTGGTACTTGTCATGTTCGTTTTTTTTCAAAGTGAATAAATGTGAAAAAAATGTTTTGTCATTTTCAGCCCATTCCTTTATGAATTTCTTCACATGGACTTTCCGATACCAGCTTCCCCCACAGTCAGCACAGTTCTGATGCTTTTTGTCTTTGAAGATATCAGACAGTTCCTTCACTTCACACCGACATCTGTCCACTTTTCTCATCATCAGTGAGTTCGCCAGAACTTTTCTTTTTCAGTCTGCCAGCTACAAAAAAAATACATTTGTTTTTCCTCGTTCACGGAGGTAGATTCTGCCAATATTACTCCAAATAATGTCCCCGATGACTACAACTGTGATAAAGTATGATGTGTGTATTGTAATAAAAAAATGTTAAAAAAAAAAAAAAAAAAAAGCTGTGTCTTATGCAGACATTCTGTAACTTTCTCAATATAATTCGAAAGAACCTTGACAACTCCTGAAGATTGAGAGCTGGTTCGGAGGTGAGCTGTGGGAAGCAAGTTTCCGGTCGATGTTTTTGTGGGACTTTCCTTTTGCCCAGATAGGCATCAACAGCTTTGTATGAAGTGTTTTACCTACACCAGTCAATCCCTTTTTGAGGACTGCTCGTGCATTCTGTTTCTTCAGCTTCATAATTAATTCCATGTAGGTTTTCACATCTTTGTTTCTGACCGTCTTGCAGAGTTCTGAATGCATCTCCACACGACCACGTCTATTCTCATACTTCACCAAGACTCTGTTCTTCTCAGCCTCTGTGAGCTGGCGTTTGGCGTTGTTCTCTAAATTGAGAAAGTACAACAGAAATCACAAAGAGAAGTTTAAAACAGGATACAATAATCTCATCTGAAGGGTGTATAAAGTAGATAAAGTTCTCTGCAAAATGTTTCAGGCAAGTACAAAAAGTACAACAAAGATTTGAAGTATGAAGAGTTTATTGAATAGATATTCATTATATACTTTGGGTTGACCAGAGAGAAAATATAGCACTTTTATACATGGTCACCTGATTCCAGGGCACCAAAATATTTGGGGTATAGCAATGCTAATGTTTAGTTCTATTAAGTTGTTGAAATGGGATGGCCAGGTTTTTAAAAAAGCTTGCAGAGTTTTGGAAAA